GGTGGTGAACCTGGGGACGCAGTCATGTGTCATCAGGGTGAACAGCAGGGCACTCAGGACGCAGCCCTGAGGGGAGGGGCTTAGACTGATGACATCAGAGGTGTTCTGTCTGACCCGGACTGACTAAGGTCTGTTGGTGAGGAAGACTAGCAGCCAATAGCAGAGGGGTGTATTGAATCCCAGCTGTTGTTTCTAAGAATGTGTTTTCTTTTGATGAATGAAGCTGAAAGATAATAGTGGAGCTGCCTTAAAGCCAGATTGAAATGAGATTTATGATGTTTGCCCATCAGATGCTGTGGGATGATGGGAACAGCATCAGCAGGTGAGTGTTTTTCTCCTCCAGGTGTGCCAGGCTCAGGTGGAGAGCAGCAGAGATGGCGTCCTCAGTGGAACGGTTGCATCGGTAGGCGAACAGTAATGGGTCGATTGTTGGTGGCAGACTGGAGACGATGTGTTCTTTAACCAGCCTTTGGAAGCACTTCATCATGATTGGAGTCAGAGCGACAGGCCGGGAATTATTGAGTGAGTTGACCTGAATAACTGGAATAATGGTGGCAGACTTGAAGCATGCTGGCATTATGGATTGGTCCAGCGAGGTGTTAAAAATGTCTGTGAGGACACCAGCCAGCTGATCTGCACACTCCTTATATACCCGCCCAGGTATGTTATCAGGCCCTGGGGCCTTCCTTGGGTTGACTCTCCTCCAGTGAGTTTTCCTCACTTCACCTACGTCCAGGTTTAGTGTCTCCTCACCCTGGTGAGGAACAGCTTTCACTGCTGGAGGATGTTTAGTGCCTCAAACCTTCCAAAGAAGTTGCTCAGTTCATTAAGGAAGTCAGTGTTTGCTGCATCTACTGGGGGGGTTGGGGGGGCTGTTGCAGTCTGTGATCCTCCTGGTGTTGCTGTCGATGTGGAAAAGATCCTGGATCTTCCGACTGTGGTTCTGCTTGCTGATCTGATGGCATGGTTTAAGTTGGCACGCGCTGTTCTCAGTGCCTCTTTATCACCAGACTTGAAAGCTGAGTTACGTGCTTTTAGTGATATCCGACCCTTACTATTTATTTTATATATATGTAACCCAGTGGGTTTTAGTACCCAAAGTCTGTATTCTTTCTATTGTATCATTGTGATTCAACAGTAAATGTCTCAATCCAACATATTGAGCTTGTGAAGGCCCATCATAGGCCCAAAGAGAAAAGCCGATCATCCATTGGTTGCTAGAGCTAAGCCCGCCCACCTCTGCTGCTCTAACTTTGTTCTCTGCCGGAGCGAGAGGCCCGTTCACAGAACATTGAACCTGAAAACAGCAAAGTCTACCAAACGATCAAAACTGAACATTTTCAACCAAAATCCGCTTCGAACACGGAGGAGAGAGCGATCCGACCCATCTCTGCTTCAACATCACCATTAAAAACCTTTGGTGAGTGACAAAAACGGGATGCTAACAAGAAGCTAACTAGCCGCTAAATGCTAAACCAAAGCTCCCTTGTTGTAGAACTGGGAGAAGCAGGAAACGGACCGGACCTCCTCGTTGTGTGGGAAATTGGAAGATACCGGATCTGTGGAATGTGTGAGACGTGGTCACCCACGTTAAAGGCTTGTGAATATTGAGGCGCACGGTGAGTAGCAAGCGCTGTTAGCCGCCGTTAGCTTAGCCGCTAATTAGCATCCACTACGTTTTGGCTGCGGGGAAACATGTACGGGGTCTCCCCCAAGAAACACCACGGGCACGTCAGTGTTTTACTTTCTGCCTTGGTAACAAATGTCCCACCTGTTTTACTGGAAATAGATGAGAAAATGCACAATTGGGAGATAAAAACAAGACAGTATTATTAAAGGTTATTTTTTGCACTTAATACATGATTAATATACAAATGTACATGATTCTAATTTTGTTAAAATATTTTACACTACACTAATACATGATACTCAATGTAACTTAAAGGTACATTGCCTGAAAATGATTTACCATGGTTTATAGGCATTTCATTATTATTATTGATGTTTATTGATTAAGATGTGAATTTTTGATTTACAAATGTTAAAGCTACAGTGTGTAATTTTCAGCGACATCTAACGTCCGGACTGCAGACTGCAGCAACATGAACATCTCCCCCCCACCGCTTCTCCCCCCCAACAGTACGGCGAGCGTTACGGGACAAAATGTC